TATCATTTTTCATTAATTTTGCAGTGCCAAAGGTTACTTTTTTGTTTTCTATTTGTGGGTGACAGTAAAATTAAACATTTCAACATATCTTTTTAATTTTAAAATCCCTTAGAAAAATAATTATAATCAATGTGGACATTGTAATGAAGAACAATACCACAGAGAACAATATTAAATTAAGTTTGTGGTAACATTTTTAATGACATATTTTGTCAATTTCACACACAAGAAAAATCTATAAATAATGGAGATAAAATTTAAAATACCGCAAGTTCAAAGAAAATAAAATAAATGAACGATACTTACTTTTTTTAGTGTCAATGTAAATTAATTCAAGGGTAAAAGATAAATATTTCTTTTTAAAAATAGACTAATTGTTTACAGTTACACTAAAGGCTACATTAATAATCTGTGTTGAAATTGATTTTAAATTCTTACCTATTGTTATAAATAATCAAGAATGGTTTCTCTTTGTTTTGGGACTCTCCTCTTTGAGAGATCTATTTCTGTTTACTGGGACTATAAAAAGACACTATACGTGAACCTTATATTCTCAGTTGAATAAAACTTTCTTAAAGCCTACACCTGCATACTTTTGTCATGACATTTTATTCAACTGAGGATCTCTCCATCATGGAACAATTAATACACCCACAGCAGTTCAACATAGAACCTGATACTACAGACTCTGAAAAGTGCTGGATGCATTAGTGAATGATGTTCAAAAACTTCTTACAAGCAGTACATGCAAAAAACCCACAAGGACATTATCTGGAAAACTATAGAACTAGCTGCCGCAAATTGCAAATGTCCAATCCCCCACTGGGAAGATCTCCTGCCTGAATCTCTGTTTGCTATCAGATCACTTCTATGTTCAGTCACAAATGCTAAGCCTCACAAGAGGTTCCTCTTATTTCAATGAAGAAGCTAAGCAGGAACTTCACTTCGTTCATGGATCTCTAAACCTGCAACGTTTCTTCTGAGACGGTTTGTCCATCATAATAAAAATGACCCATTGAGTGGATTTAATTGAAGCAAATCCTCAATATGACCAGGTATGCCACCCAGATGGGAAAGAATCTGTTGTTTCCCTGAAAGACCTCACACCCACTGGAGATGTACCTAAAACTGATATAGCTAGCAATGCGATGCCTAAATATCCAGGCACTTCCACTACAGTTGAAGGTCAACCTGGCAGCATTGAGCCATGGGACTCATCAACTGACTCTCACTGATTGTATCGGATACTGAGTCTGTATTGTCTTGAGATCCCAGAGTGCCTAGTGGGTGCCAGTAGTGGATGATCGCTCGATAGCTCAGAAGCAAGCATATCCCCAAACTGATTCAGAATCAGAATCACAGCAGCTTGCACGCATGTTTTATTCAACATGGGATGAAGGGAGAAAGCCAGTCACTGTGAGTCTTTGGACCCAGAAACCCAGAATGCTGACTTAACAAGACGTTCCAGCAGAACCGGCAGAACACCAACAAAATGGAATGAATACACAACTAAAAATGAAATGGGAGAGAATGTTATGGATAATCAAAAGTGGTATCCCCTTGTTTTGTTACTCTCCTCTTTGAGAGAGCTATTTCTGTTTACTGGGACTATAAAAGGACACTATATGCAAACCTTGTATTCTCAATTGTATAAAGCTTTCTTAACGCCTACACCTGCGTACTTTTGTCATTACACTTATTTCCCATCCCATTTAATTTTCCATTCAAAATCATAAATTTCTGGAGTTTCCCAATCCAGACATTTTATTTAGTCTCTGCTCTACCAAAACAAGCTCATACCAAGTTTTGAAGTATTGTAATCTAGAGGACTTATTAATTAATAGTGGAAAAAAGGTATTCAAGATTACAGTTTTTTGTTTTTCTTAAATTTAAGGACTAAAACTTAATATGAGCATATTTTGCTTTGGTTTCCCAAAGACAAGGGAATTAATAGCAACTTGAATCCCACCCCAAACACCACTGACAACTTTTAAAATATATATATTAAAAAATATGTGATATGGAGTAGTTAATCTACACAAATATGAAAAAATTATTTTTTAAAAAATGGTTATTTCATGATGTAATACTTAGTACAACTTTACCCAAACTTAAATTTTTGATTCAAAATCATAAATTCCTAAGTTCAAAATCACTCTGACCTTAAAATCTAAGGTTCATGCAATTTTTAGAATCAACCTCAAATTTTTGCAAAATAATAGTTTAAGTCTGGTTAATAATATTATTTAATTTCAGTATCCTAAAATCTTTCACAAATTGATGAAAAAGTGTTGTGTAACAGGTTGCCATGGTAACTATAACAAACAAAATAAGGTCTGTGCATTTCATGTTCTCCCAAGAGCAGAATGAGCAAGAACAGTGGCTAAATGTCTTGAAACAACAACCCTCCTTATGACAAACCATACATACTGTTTGTGAAAGGCATTTTCCATTTGACTACAAAACAGTGGTTAATAGAGAAAAAGTATGACCCTAAAATACAAGTAAAACCTCTGCTTCTGCATGAAGTATGCAAAATGATGAATTTGTATTATTTCTCGAAAATAAAAAAAAATGTCAGTTTTGAAAATTTATGTCACAAATATTGATCAACACAATTTTGTGTCAGCCATTACATGCTACAAATTAAACAATCAGCTGTTCATCCAATCTGTTGATTTTTTGGTTTTTCATTGGAAATATTCCAATTTCTTTTTTATTAAAATTTTTGAAAACTTGAGGTTTGAATGTTGACCTACAATAATTTTTCTCTGTAAAAAAAATGAATGTTTCAACATTAGTCACAGATCATTGAAACAATTCATTATTTTAGTAACTTAACTGTTCTGTTAAATTTTTTTTTTTTAAATATATCACTATTATGTCACTACAAACCATTGGGACATTATGATTTTGTATTCTTATCAGAGCATTTGAATATTTTGTTACACCTTGGTTATAACAGACTTAGGGGATGATTTTATTTTTAAATTACCAACTGTAAGAAGACTACCAGTTTTGACACCAAATGTCTCAAAATTAGATGACTATAATTTTCTTAATGATGTATGTAATAAATTCTCTGAAAATCAGAAAGTGTGTGATGTTCAAGTTTGTCAAAGTTCTACAGTTTCATGAAGGAAATCAATTTGGTTTGGCAGCAAATTCTGAACGATTAGCAAAAACAATATTGGGTATCATCATAAAATGTTCAAATTGTGATCCAAAATTATTGTTTAAAATTATTCCAGTTAATAAAATACACATGAGCATATTTTGCTTTCTAATTTGGGAAAAATGGCAAAAATAATTGAAGAAAAGCAAAAGGAAAAAAAGATTTAAATCATTTACAAGTTTAACTATTGAACATGCATATAATTTGTTTAGTTAATGTTTGAAGATATTTACAAAACTGGATTTAATTTTGATGTGCTTGTTGAATTTACCACAGACTATTTAGAAAATGAATTTGGAAATTTAAGACCTGGTTCTGGTGGTGCATATTTTATAGCAGTACAAAATGTTATTGAAACATTTCATATTAAAAAAAAATAAATTACTTAAGTTAAAGAATACAACTTTGATTCAAGTTATAATTGCTCAAAAAGTGGATATTGGCTGGATGAAGTAGCATGCCAAACATTTGATAACTTACCAAACCTTGAAACTAGGATCTCTAATGATATTAAAATGCCACTTTTGTATATAGCAGGTTACGTTACAAGACAATATTGTTCTGCTGAAGAAGACATCTTTAATAATACAACTTTTATTTTAAAGAATATGGAAAAATTTTGAAAGAAATAGGTTGTTAATTTAAAAATTCCACTGGATACTATAACTCAGAGGGTGTTTTCTGTTTTATGATGTTTGGTTTTGTTAAATTTAAAACTTGCAGGAATTCTTTGATAAAAATTTTGTTAGTTTTTGAAATACATTAATATAAAAACAAAATCATGGTATTATATTGTCAAGTATATTTTTCAAAAATTGTTTGATTCTCTTAAAGCAACTAAAGAACCAGTACTAAGTTTTGAAATTATCTTAAAATTTTGTTTATAAGATAAAGGTCTCTAAAATTCCCTTGTACAATTCTTAAGAATACATAATCAATATTAAAAATGTATATATTTTCATGAAGTAAAATAGATCTATGAAGCTACATTAAAAATGACATATTTATCCATTCACAGAAACATTAAGCAGGTAATTTTTTTTAATTTTTCACCTTTTTATATACAATAATGAATTGATTATCTCACCAAAACAAAGGTAGAGGCAGATGTAACAAAAATCACAGAATAAAATTTACAAAAATTACTAATTACTGCTTGTCTGAGATTTATTTGTTTTGCTTTTTTTATTTTCAAGTAAATTCAGTCATTATTGATACACAATTTGATAAAATATTGAACTTGCTTTCTGATTGTATTATACAACTATATTTTCTATATATTTATTCAATTAATATTGTTTCTGCAATATCATTTAAGTTTTGGTGAATAAAGGAATTTTGTTGTGCATTGCATGTGCAGAGGAGGTTAATTTTGTTCTTTTTTTTACATTTGCATTTATGGAAATATGTCAATAATTGTTAGGTGCTTCCTGATAATAGGTATAGTGGCTGATTAACTAATTACTGGATATTACTAAAAAGGTTTTTGATTAAAAATGTTCTCATAAATTATTTAGTAGTAATTTAAGCTCAACCCCAGTTGCATGGTAGCCAGGCATGTCATAGGTATTGCATTGGCTTAGTTACATTAGATAAAGTAAAACAAACATGAAATATGAAAAATGACTTGTGCAGTTTATGAAGAAAATGCTGTGAAAAAGAATCAAACATGTCAGGAGTGATTTAAAATGTTTCACAGGGCATAACAGTTGTTTCTATTCATCATCAGATTTCCATTTATTTTCATCTTTTTAAAAAGGTTTTTTGGGTCATTTCAAGTATTTTATTAATTATGGGTGTTATCATGACCATATTGCACAATGTTATGATATTTAATTCAGCCTGCTTTTTAATCTCTTCATTCAATAATCTATTGGAACAACAGACACTCACTGATAGATTCTTATTTCTCTCTCTCTATTTCCCTCTCTCTGTTTTCCTCTTTGATTCTCTCTCTCTCTCTCTATCTCTCTCTCTCTCTGTTCTCCCACTCTTTGTTTCTCTTTTTCTTTTCTTTGTTTCTACCTCTGTTTTTCAATCATTGTTTTCTGTCTTGTTCCTCTCTCTCTTTCTCTGTTTTCCTATCTCTCTATGTGTTTTACTGTTTCTCCCAGTGTTTTCCTCTCTCTCTTTCTCTGTGTTCCCCCCCTCTCTCTCTGTGTTTTACTGTATTTTTCCATGTTTTCCTCTCTCTCTCTCTCCCCTCTCTCTGTCTGTGTTTTTCTCTCTCTCTCTCTCTGTGTTTTCCTCTCTCTCTCTCTTTCTCTCTGTTTCTTGCTCCCTCTGTTATTTTCTCTTTTGTTTCTAGCTCTCTCTTTCTCCCCATTTCTCTCTCTGTTTATGATCACCTGATCTGTTGACAAGTAAAATTCAGGGTACTACAGAATGTTACTTTTCTTCTTTTCTAGAATGCATAATGAGAAAAGAAAGCCTAGAGAATTTAATACACACAAGATATATTGTAAGCAAGCTACTTAACTAATGTGTATAAACTTATGGCAGAACAAGAGGAATGGTAAAGCATAAAAAATTACTTAAAGCAACAAAAGAAAGGAAGTTGTGTAGAGCTATGATCACTCATGTTCTGAAAGGTCTTGTTACATAAAAGATTGTTTAAAATATATAAAAGTATTATTAATAAAATATTAAAAAAATTAAAGTAGAAATTTATAGGTATTGGTCATATTAAGTGTAATACAAAGTGGATGCTGAAAAATTTTGGGCCTTACCAAGTAACCCTTCCAAAAATAATTCTGGTGTTTAGTCATTTGTCCTGATTTTGAGGAATAGTTTGGACACAGAAAACATTAATTTATTGGTTTTTATTATAAATTCTGTTCCTGGGGTATGGTGTCAACAAGACTCTTTACAACTCAAGAACTTTTCAGGGAGTCTTTTTTTTTCTAAGGTCTACAATTTTGGTTTCAATTCCACATTTCCTTCAGTGATCTTTCAAGTTGTGTTCCAAGCACCCTAATTGCTACTAGAATTACAATATATTCCATAGACTTCTACAATTCCCTAACCAGATCCTGGTATTTCTCAATTATTATGATTGTTTGTTTTATTTTTTCTGATTTATCAACCCTTTGTTGGTTATTTAATGCCAAAACATATTTTTTAGATTTTAAATTTATTTTTGTGAGTGGATATTGCATTAACAATTTTAGGGATATAACAATAATTTTTCCAGATACACGCCCTACTATTTAACCCATAGTTGAGGGAGAGGATATGGATTCATACTTTTCTCAAGTGTATTTTCATATAAGTAAATATAAAGAACTTGACTGGAATTCAAACTTTGCTCACTGATTTCTCATTCCAAGTCATGATGATGAAAAATTTGCAATTGTACAACAAAGTTATCTTTGGAAGATTCAAAAAGTTACAAAATATCAATATTAGTAAAATTATTTATGATTTTCTAATTAAAATGGAACTATATTTTCTTTTTTCCCTGTCAGGAATCTCTTTATTGGTCATCTTCATTATTCCAGCAATCTTAGACAATTTCTTCTGTATCTTCATATTTACTTTTATATATTCTAATGAAAGCTGATTTTTTTAAAAAAAATTTAATACTAAAACCAACACTTCTTGAAAATGCAATGTCTGATTTAAAACAATTTTTTTTAAATATAGACTTTTTTCAACTTAAGTAAAAGCAGTTTTATATAGGTACCTCCACTTTTTCACAGTAAAACAGCATAGCATAATGAAAAAGACCACAAACTTAATAAAAATAAAATATTATCATCAAAATGTTTGTTATGATGAAAGACCAAAATAGTTTTTTATTATTTTTTGAAATTTTTTAATCCTTTCTAAAACGTTTGAAATTTTACTTAAAATCTTGTTTTGTTTACGTCATCATGGTGGCATAACATTGACTTTTTTGTGCTTTTTTTCCTGTTGAAAACACACTGATTTAGAAATTCTTGTAAAAATCAAATAATTGTCCAATTTTTTTGAAATTTTCAGGACTTATTTACAAATGAATGAAATTATTATTGAAATTTTTTTTTTAGAAAATTTTGGTAAAAAATATTTTCTTTTACATATGTTACCCCCCCTCACTTACTTAATTTTACAAAAAACCTTTCTATTTCCTGAATTTTTTTATTCGTTAAAAAGTAGGAGTCCTTATGGAATGTACATAACTTCATATCTGAAAGTATTCTAAACTGGAGTGCTAAAAAATTAAAAAATACTCTCGCAATTAAATGGATATTCTAAGGTTTATCAATCAATCATCTGTGAAATGAAACCTCCATAAATAATCCTATATTAATAATATTCACATCAAAATAAAAAGTCTATTCACTGTCACTGATGACACCTAAGAAAGGTATAAAACTAATGTTCTTTTGTTAAGGACAATACCGCCAACTGTATGAATACAATCAAATATAACCATCACTTCTACTCAAACAGCTTCTTCTCTCACACTTCCTATCTGTGGAACTCCCTTCCCCTTACTTGCTTCCTGGATGACTATAATCTTCAAATATTCAAGTGTAATGTCAATCGACATCTGACACCCTGAGCTTGTTCCCTGTCCTTCTCTGTATTCTTTCCTCAAACACGTCCCTTTACTCTTGCTCTCAATCCTCTGTAACCCCTTGTGTGCTAGTGGCACTCTTGCTTTGATTGGGGTGAATTGCTTTAAAATAAAATACAGAAAGAGAGTATGTATCTAATTATTTTCTCTCCATAAAGACTATAAACAACTGTTCTATTGATCCTTATTCTTAACAAAAGAATCACAAAGTTCTGTATTCTTTGACCAAACATCATCAACTCTATTATTCAATCTTTTGTAGTTTGTGATAAAACTCAAAGCCTAAAAGAAAGCAAATGCTTTCAAATCATGAGGGTTACTGGTTTTAATTCAGTCTCTGCTTTCTATCATTCTTATCGGTCTTTTCCAAAACTTTATTATGACATAAACAAACACACACATACATATGTATACTTATATATATATATATATATATATACATATATGTGTGTGTGTGTGTGTGTGTGTGTGTGTATCTATCCATCCTTATCTTTATATACACATATATACTTATATAGAAACACATTTTCATATATAGAAAAATATATACCCATGTATTTCCATATACTCACAGAAGCACGTAAAAAAAATACTTTGATAAATTGTTACTAATATCAATTGAATCTGACAAAAAACAATTACCTATGTGGTATATTAGCATGTTGTTTCACAAGTAACTTAAAATTTAAAATTTCACTATAACTTGTACTTTGTAGCTAGCTAACTAGATGCAGATGAGACAAATCCCATTATATTTTTACATATTAACTTGATATAAAGAAAAAAATTATTGGTAATTTTTCTTTGAAAGAGAAAAAGTTTCTTTGTAAATATTTCCCAAAGTTGGTTAAAAAATATTCTAAAGTTATAACAGATGCAATTCTGAAAGATAAAATAGAAAATTAAAAGAGAAATGAGAGAAAGAAGAGAAAATGAGAGAAGTGGAAAGAAGACAGAAGAGGAGAAAATCCAAAAAAAATAGAATGACAGTCAAAAGAAAAATAAATAAAAGTGTAAAATATAATAATATTGAGAGTGAGAGGAAGAGTAAAGAAATAAAAAATAGAAAGAAAAAAGAAAGAAAATGTAAAGAGAAAGAAAGACAAAGAGAGAAAAAGTGTGAGTGTGTGTGTGTGTGAATATCTAACCAGAGTAATTATAACCAAAGCTATCATCATCTTTCCAAATAAACATGTGATGGAAAAAGATTTTCACAGACTGAACTTGCAATGAAAAATATTGTTAAATGAAGGCCTAACACCTGTCTAGAAACGGAATCTATTTCCTTACCATAACAATTGACTGGTATTTTTTAGCATCTCTAGTGTTATTAGATTTCTTTGCCAGGGAATGTAGTTTCCATTCACCAACAACCTCAAGAGAGAGCTTGTGCACCTAGACACCTGCCCATGGGCTGTTTCTAGTTACAAATCCTAAATGCTTCAGGGAGTTCTGACTGAAGTGTTGTATAAGCAATTTATTCTGCTGCCAAATTGATACGTTACCTTGATTTAATCAGCCAAGGATTAAACAGCCATCCAGATCGACTCCACACACCACCACCACCACCACCACCACCGATTCCCATCATTGAATTTCTTTCTTATGATCTTTCTTTTTATTTTTTTTAACTCTTCTATATTTCTTATTTCTTTAAAAATTGTTTCTTTTAATTTTTTTTAAACATTTTTGTGAAATGTCCTTTCTGACTAAAAAGTTGGACCAGATCAAATAATTATATTTCTTTTTATTAAACTATTTTTTTCTATTTTTTATTATTTATTTCTAAAGATTCTCGAATTGCTTTTCAAATCTGATTACTTTTATATAATTTTCCCTAAGATTTTTATTCCCCTCCCACCAAAAACCTTTAAGGGTTGGCATCAAGGAATTCATCTGATTGTTAAAATGCTCCACAGAATTCAGGCACTGTTCTCATTTAAGGGCTACCAAACAAAATATTTTTGTGATCAAATTTTTAGAATAAATTCACCATATTTTCCTTTATTCCTATGCACTTTTAGGTTTGTTATTTTCTCTAAGTAGGTGCTTCCTGTAGGTAATACATAGCCTAACCAGAATTTTCTTTATTTTCTGTTTGATTAGATTTTCAATCAATATATAAGATAAGTGGTTTCTTGATTGTTTTGAAACTTGCCTCTTATTTCTCTTAATAGCTCTTCTGGTCATTGTATATAATTTTCCTTTTGCTATATTGCTAAAAAAAATATTTTAAAGCTTCCAGGTTATTGACAATTTTAAGTTACACATATTAAAATCTAACTACTCATTGAAATATATATACATTCCTATCAATTTTGATTTTAAAAGTACAAAAATTTTCAAAAATTACTGTCCTAGAATAACATGAAAAGAAAATTATTCAATTATTTCAATGTTTTCTTTAATTTTTACACAAGTATTTGACCCAGTCTCTTAACAATAAGTATTAAAAAAATCACTTTCAAATTTCTTTTCTATAATCATGCATGATTTTAAAATTGATATTTTAAATCTGTAATTCTCTTTGCCATTCTTCTTTATGGTGTTAATGGTTCTAAGATGTTGATTGTAAAGTACTATGAACATATTTAATCCCTGACAAGTCAAGAGAGATTTAGATATAAATGTAGTGGATTATCCTGTAATCCTAACTTTTAAAATTTTAAGAAAAATAAAATAAAATTTTAAAAATGTAATAGAAATGGAAAAAAATATTTACTTTGTATTTCTCAAGCATGAAA